TCCCATCATGTAAGTGCGAAGACCAGCATTTCAACGGCTAGAAATTTTTTTCCTCCGTCTAACAGAATCCTTACGTTATGCAATTGGTTATCGATAAATCAAACATGGGAAACTGAAAAATGTGTATAAACGGCTTATTTACACAAAACAAGCAAATTGGTTAATTAGGTAATTGACTAGTACCGACTGGTACTTCTTCGGCCCTCTTCGGCCTCATCTCACACGTGTCCTCTTCAGAGTAGTCTGATTGATTTCTGCCGTTTGATCCACAGCTGTTTTGAGTTCTGAGCTTAAGTAATAGTTAAGCAATTTTTCGGTAACAAGGCGGCTTGACAAGGACTGTCTAATCTTAAAAAGACTTTAAACGTGGTGTATGTTTTTCGAGTGACGATGTTCTCGATCTTCGGATAAATCAAAAACGACATTTGAAAACGACTGAAACCTTTTAGAGACATTAAATGAATCACTCCGCATTACTGGCTCTGACATTAACTGCATCACGTTAGAAAACGGCTGATGCACACATCCATGCTAAAACAGAAATTTTGAGACCATAATGAGTGTGACTGCGAAGTGAAAAGCTAATTCATGGAGTCATCCTACGATCGAATATCCAGTTTACATGCTAAGCATAGCAAAATACACAAATTCTAAATACCAGTTTCCTATTTAAAGTTGGAATTTGATTTTTTTTGGGAAATCTTATGAAACAATGCATAATCTAAATCTACAGCTTTTTGAAGCACATAAAAACGAGCAGTGATAAACAGTCCATAAACGGTTTGTGATTTTTTGGTAATCATATAATGGTTTCTAGGTCGATGCTTCGCAGTAACAATATGCCACAATTCTGCGGGGAATGCAGAGAAAGAGACTGTGAAAAAGTTACAGAATAAAAACTGCAGAACGATCACTAAGCGTGCTCTACGCGAAAGAGACCGCAACAGGAAAAAAAAGATACGTTGAAACATGTGAATACTTCAAAGTAGAATTCAAGAGTGACCTCAGCAAGTTTCTACATGAATCAGTTAAGCGAGGGATTAATGCTGATACCAAAGTAGCTTCTGATAAAAAATGAGCTTTACATTAAGACGCAAAACGTCGCCAACGATTGACAGCCTATCCACACCAATTTATGATAATCATAATTGTAGGATGCTGATCAGGTGTGCAACTCATGATACAAGCCGCTGTTCCTGAAAAGGAATGCTAATATGACAAGCGTCCAAACTCGAACGAAATTAGGTTACCCTTCGTTTACGAGCCTCGAAAGATAACCATTGCGACTCTTTCGATATATGTTCATAATGTGAGAAGAGAGGCCCTCAAGACGGACTTTCTTCGCAAAGTCAAAACATAAATGGCCAATGAACAAAAAAATTTTAGAAAGCTGGGGCCACTGAAATTCTTGCAATCTGAATCATCTTTGAATAAAGCGCGTGCAGATTGACTGACTGACCCAAAATGAAATTTTTTTAAACTTTAATTAAAGCATTAAAGATTTTTTAATTTACTTTTGCATCTTATGCTGATTTTTTGGTCAGCTGTCAGAAGGGTCAAGGCGAACTGCAGCCAGCAGACGCATTTAACAGCATGTCCGTATATCTTAAACACTTTACCACGACCATACCAAAATAGAGTGGGACAAATTCCTTACTCAACGGAAGTAGCCATTAACAGGAGGATATTCATGCTGCCCGTTAAGTTTGAACCCAGCGGTATAATGTGCAAAACAATATAATAAACAACTGTACCACTGCCCTCCTCCTCTTCCAAAATCTTGACCCTTTCAGGAAATCTCCAAAAGCTGCTTCTTCCGAAAGCTGTTGATATTGATAGATGAATTTGCGAATTTTATTTTTATTAAGAATGTTGCTTTTGGCATTATGCACGCAAATCACTCCCTCGAAAGAAACAAGTGAGCCACTCAGTTCACGAGTAGGAGAAAATTTACTCCGTTCATTGTACAACTATTAATCGCCAGACACTATGGGCATCTGTACGGATTAAACTAGCTCTTAATCAACCGACAGCTACCATTGCTGACAACAGCCGGAAAACAAGGCTTTACGGGCGCCTTTAGCACGTATCACAATTCCATAACGGTTGAATATAGTCGTAATTGATTCAGTTCTACTACCAGATTTAAAAAGGTTGTCCTGAGTCTACGTCACACTTACATCGAAATATTCGCTTGCTTCTGGAACTGTCATCACGTTGTTAGAATCCGGTTTATACCTGCAATATGAGACGTATATCTGGAATTTTTCAGCCTAAAAACGACGAACGATAAATATGGCTGATAAAGAATCTTCAATCTTAATAAATTCTGCCAGTTTAACCTTAGGTTTAAAAGTGCCTTGAAATCCCAACTATATATCACGGTGTATTTGGAAACTAACTAAATGCAGAGGGGAGAATTGCCATAGACGTAACAGCATCTACTACTATTCATCCAAAAAACGTTTAATGATTCACTGATAATTTATTTATTATATGATATACACTGGTGCAAATATGTTGAAGGAGTCTGCTCTAGACTCTGGTTATCCAAAGCTCAGACGCTGGCAGTGGATCGGGAACGTTGGAAGTACTGTCGACTCGTCTGCCTTCGTGACCCAAAGGACAAATAGTCACGGAAAGTGAAGCGAAATACACTCACAGTTCATGTGTACCCATGCACTGAATAATACGAGTGCCTGACAGAATACTACCTACTAATGAACATAACACACGCGTTATAACGAATAATTAATTATAACTGCGTTATCGTCATGTATACTAGAGGCTCGAATGTGATTTGCTATCGATCATTCATGAAATTTCATTAACGGTTTACGCCGTCATACTGAAGACAGCCTTTTGTCAGAAACCAGAGCAAAAAGACAGATAAACACTACTTCGTACACGGCTAGAACCGATCAAAAATCTAATCCTTTTAAAAACAAAATTTTATTGAAAAATACACGGCTAAATCAGAGTAATTAAAGAGTACTTACCCATGTGACAAAACAGTGGCCAACGTCTTCTGGCAAACTTTCGTACTTTTCAAGTTCTTGCAAAAATATTCTAAAATTCGTAATGGACTTTCAGTCTTAAGATACCAGTACGCAACAACTTTTCCATACCGTGCAAACAGCATTCAAAAAAAGATGTTTAATGTTGAAAACCTGCTAATATTCCCTGTATTCTTACAACAAACTATCAGCGATTCAGACGCCTTACTACTTATCAGCAATAAGGACACATTCATTTTAAGACATGTGCCTATCATACATGGTTAACGCATATTATCTACGCACATATATCGCTTATGTGATATTTCCGGCGATTAAAATTAAACACTGAGTACATCTGCAGAACACAC